GCGCTGTTTTTCATCTCATAGACCGCCGGTTTCTATCAGATCAACAAAATATCAAATTATAATTTTTTATTGTTAATATACAATATACATGTACCGTACAAATCACAAAAAATATCATTTCTTGAGTTCATTGTTTTATGCAGCAATTTTATTCGTGTACAAACAATTAATTTAATACATAGGACTAAATTATCTCAAGTTTTTGTAGGTTACAATGTTTTTCATTGCATTGTATTGACAAATTCAAACTAATTGTTTATAAATAGTGTCCGAATTTAATTAACTTGAGCCGCGTCTTAAATCCGCCAAAAACTGGTTTAAATTGAGCGCCGGCTTAAATCTTGAAACATTGAATACAATTTTAAGTGAAACCAACCATATTTGAGCCGCGGCTTAAATTTAAGCCGCCGCTCAAATTCTTTAAACTCGGCCTGAGACCATTATTTCAAAAAGTTAAAAAAATTTTAATCGAGAGTGCGACCGGCAGAAAATTATTTCAATTAGCCATACGTAGTTTAACTACTATTCGCTATTCAATGATTTGAAAACTTGATGATTTTACCCGCTCTTGGATTTAGATTACAATTTTACCTTTTTTTTCCTATAAAAGTATAACCCATTCAACTTAGAATCTCCAAACCAAACTAAGAACATATCCGTGGTTCTCCCGAGTTCCCCCAGGGAAATTTTGAGGCAAATCGATCTTGGGGTTCCTGAGTTATGATCTGGCGAACAAACAAAAAACAAACAGACAGGCAAACAGAGATTACAACTTTATATATATAATATATGTATTATATATGTATGGTTTTAGACCAAGGGAGAAAAGCAAGCGAGAACCTGTGGAGAACTAAATTAAATTGAGACTCAAGCAATTCGTCATTTTTTAGAAACCATGATACAGTTTTCAATTTACGAGGCCATACGCACAGTTTTCAATTAATTCTTTTTATTTTGCAATTATCCACACGATCTCAAATCGATCAGATAATTCGTAATTTTTACAGTTTTGTCCACCGAAAGGTAACGGAATATTTTATATCTTATAACCATACATATGATACAGGGGAACCCATACAACTGTAGAATAGGGAGTTAAATCAATCGTAAAACGTATTGGATGTTGTTTTAAAGTAGACATATTTACCAGCTTGTAAATCGACTTATGAAGTGAAATGGGTTTGTGGATATATTGCACAATTGCAGGGTTTCCTGTTCATTGGATTAATTAAGATCATAACTTGATTATTCCACAAGTTTATTTGTCCTACCAATTCTCATATTTTGTCAGAATTAACTCTATTTTCCTCAATCTATATAAAAAAGCTATTTGCTCATATATACATTTATGTACGTATGTGATGATTTTCTGCTGCTGTCTCCTACCAGAAATGGTTTACAAAACCTACTACAACTTTGTGAAAAGTATGCCGAGGAGCATAATATTTCCTTTTCAACAAATCCAGATCCATCCAAATCCAAGTCCAAAATTAATTTTTTACTTGTGGACGTGCAACAGAAAGTCGTCCTAATCATCAGAAACTGCCCTGGGTCAGTCAGGTTGACCATCTTGGTCATATCATTCATGAATCAGGTTCACAAGATATAGACTGCAGAGAGGCCAGAGGTGCTTACACATTGGATCATCTACTGAATTATTGGGGATTTTCCATTTCTGCGCACCACTGCAAAAGTTATCTGCTGTGCAAACTTATTGCTGTTCCTTTTGTGGAAGCAATATTTGGAACCTTTACAGCGAGTATCCCTGTCAAACATACCGATCCTGGAACACTGCAGTTAAAGTTTGCTGGAACATATACATTTTTTTATGAAGAACTTTTCTAAAAAATTCAATTCTGTGAAAGTTCTCTTGCTGAGACGATTTGCCAAAGTTGCCCAGTCTATTTTGCATAGTTGGAATCCACTGATTTGGATCAATATCTGCATAATCTGTATTCTCTACAGTATGACTTTGGAAGCAACATTTCAAATATATCTGAAGAATTCTCTCTAGGTATAATAAACAGTCCGCCAAGAGCCATCTTTCATTCAAGAAGAAGATAATATTAAATGTCTGCAGAACCTCCTCTTACAGCTCTGGGACTGTGAAGAAGACGACATCAGAGAAGAATTAAAGTTGTTAAATCACAACTTACGTTTAAATTGAATTATAGTAATATATATATTCTCTTATCTAATATCTGAACCAATTTTATGTGTTCGACAAATAAATCATAATAATAATATATGTTAGCTATAGCCGGCCAAACGGCTTTACCAAATTGACTGACATTTTGGGGGGATCCCTTGGGTATCCTGGGTTGGGTAATATAATCACTTATTTTCTTTCAAAAATAATTTTTTTCTTAAATAAATTTTTTTTTCAAGATTCGAATTCTTTTTTCCTTCGACATTGCCGGGAACTTCAGCTAGTATGTTATAAACCTATACAAATAAAGTAGTAATCACTGTTTGTTTGTTATTATCTAGTATACCAATAAATCATAAATCATTTTAAACGTAATTGTTGTTCCCCTTTCTCGGAAAGACTCTTTGCATTGAATCGCATGAATATTTTCATTAACAATTATGTATTATAGATTTAAAGGGAAAGTAAAGGAAAAATGAAAGGGGGCATAGGCTGAAAGCTAATCACTTTAGCTCTTGATCGCTACCCATGAAAGTCATATCTGATGTTCCTGTCTCGATAAATTGATATAAAATTGTATCAAATATATACGAAAATTAATATATATACAATTTTGTATAATAGTAGTGGGTTTAAACAGATCATATTCAGTAAATAAGCAACTAATCTGAAAACGATGATATCCCAGAGAAAGCTAATTGTAAATTAGGTTTACTTTTATATTTGTTATTTCTATTTTCAATAGATTTCATTCGTAATATTATTTTTACGTCCGTATTACTTGACCAGAAATTCCACCAATGGCAGTGCAGTAAAGTGGCCACATGATACAGGCGGAGACACGTGACCAGTATACTGCTCTGCCATTGGTGATAGTTCTGGTCACGTGATTTAAGTTTCAGATTTTCAAAATTTACATATATGAATTTTCGTATAATTTTAACACAGTTTTATATCAGTTTCTCGAGACAGGAACATCAGATAGCTGAATCCATCACCTCTAACCCCACGTAAACTTGAGCAATTTAACCCTACAGTGGGAGCAAAAAATGTCAAGTATGCATATCCATTATCTAAGTGAGAATATTTCCCACTTTTAGAAACGCTTTCTTTTTTTATTATTCAACCTCGGAAAACATTAATGTCAAATTTACGAAACAAAAATTTCAAATCTGTTTTTGATTTCATAAAATCTTCCTGAGATACTCTTATATTATGTAAATGAGGATTAAGGGTTCGACAACGGGAAGTTGACCATGGTAACGCCAACATTTTCCCTGAATTAACGCCAACATTCGGCTTACGCCAACCCACTACGCCAACGTTGGCGTTAGAAGTAGTAAACTCAACACTGAAAGAAAGGACAGGAGAGAATAGGGTTGAGGAGAGGAGAGAATAGGGTTGAGGAGAGGATTGAAAAGAGAAAAAAAGAGGGTGGTGAGAAAAAAAGAATATATATGCAATGGTAAGAGAGGAAAAGGATTAGGAGAGGAAAAAAGGGATAAAAAAGAAAGGTAGAGAATATAGAGGTAACGTTAGAGTGTAGAGTATGCTGGGTAAGGTTGAGAAAGCTGGTCGTCTGGACAACCGCTTACATTCAGAATTCCAAACCTTTCTTTTTATATTTGTAATTTCCTCTGGAACATAATATTATTTTCGTTATAATTTACACTCTTAAACATAACAAAATGTCCGTTATATTATACTCTGTATCAATACAATATTTACGTTATATCACACCATTACTTCTTTACATAATTAGGTTATCTCTTATGCTTTAAAACCTAACATTATTTTGGTTATATTTTGATCTTAAACAAAACATCAATATTTTTAAAATATTTATTCATTAAAATATTTTGGTTATAATTTAATCTTATTTATATCTTTATATTATCTGTATACTCATTATTTCAAGTTCGATATTGTTAAAAACAAAACATTTGACCCAGTGTACTCTCTGACATGATAATATTCTTTTATAATATAATATAATAGTATAATGTAATATACTGTTGAATATAAAAATATCATAGTTACACATAATATACTGGTGAATACAAAAATATTATAGTTACACATAATATACTGGTGAATACAAAAATATTATAGTTACACATAATATACTGGTGAATACAAAATATTAATATACTGTTGAATACAAAAATATTATATTTACACATAATATACTGGTGAATACAAAAATATTATATTTACACATAATAAACTGTTGAATACAAAAATATCATAGTTACACATAATATACTGTTGAATACAAAAATATTATAGTTACACATAATATACTAGTGAATACAAAAATATTATAGTTACACATAATATACTGGTGAATACTAAAATATTATAGTTACACATGATATACTGGTGAATACAAAAATATTAATATACTGTTGAATACAAAAATATTATATTTACACATAATATACTGGTGAATACAAAAATATTATATTTACACATAATAAACTGTTGAATACAAAAATATCATAGTTACACATAATATACTGGTGAATACGAAAATATTATTGTTACCCATAATATACTGGTGAATACAAAAATATTATTGTTACCCATAATATCCTGTTGAATACAAATATATTATAGTTACACATATAATACTGTTGAATACAAAAATATTATTGTTACCCATAATATACTGGTGAATACAAAAATATTATAGTTACACATAATTTACTGTTGAATACAAAAATATGATATTTACACATACTATACTGTTGAATACAAAAATATTTCAGTCATATTGTAAATACTCTTTTCCATTCTTTACTTTGCTGTTAAATCTTACAACATTTTTGTTTTATTACACACTAAAATCAATTCATAATTTTCCCTTACCATGTAATTTTTTAGAACTTCTAATTTGCATATTCAGAATTTGTTTTGCTAGAGATATGAACGGTGGGTTTGAAATAAAAGATGGAGAGTATACGTCAACCATATATAACATGATTAAGGTATTTTTTAAAGATCATAGATATTTTAGTTTCAAATATAATTTTACAAAGAAAGTAAAAAAAATTGAAAAAAATTAATTCTCTTTTTTTCAGGAGCAGAGGTATATGGAGGCTATATCTGTTCTATCCTATATCTATGATACTAATCCAACATCAAGGTGAAATAATGAAATTATTTGGTTTTATTATCATTATAATCATCATTTTGATTATTATTATTATTATTATTTTTATCATTATTATTATTAGTATATTATTATTATTATTATTATTATTATTAAATTATAATTACTGGTAATATTATTATTATTATTATTATTATATATTATTATCATGAATTCCATTACTTTCAATCTGTAATACTTCTGAAGTGTATAAAAGTCTAATAAAACTAACACTTTTTGTGGGTTTATACATATTTTCTAGGGCTGCATTATCTCTACTAGCGTACTGCTACTACTATGTACAAGACTATGTGAACGCTGCTAACTCCTATGAACAACTGACCAACTATTATCCAGAGGAGGAGGATTATAAAGTATATTATGCTCAGGTAAGAAGGATATATTTCACAATAAACTGATTTTATTACAATTTTTATCGAAAGGAACTGAGTTTTTGTTACAGACTATGATATTTTAATTACTTTATCTCTGCAACCCGATGATGTAGATATTAAATATTTCAAACTATGATTATTGTTAGATAGAGTAGTGTTAGTTTAAAAATCAAAGGTTTCCTCCATTAGACTGCCAAGATATAGGTATTTGAAAATTTGATTTTGTGCCAATACCTTAATTCCTATGTACGTTTGTTTGTTTGTGACATTTCATAATCGTACTTAAGTTTGAAATTTGAATACTAATCCGTCAAAAAAAACTAAATGATAAAAAACGAGATTGCTTGGGTCAGTGTCTGTTTTACAAAATCAAATATAGGTATATCCATAGCAAACAAAGGAGAGAATATCCTAAGATCGCTTTTTTATGATTTTTGCACTTTGAAATTCAAATGATCGCACAATAAAACGTAACATTCAATCTCTTGAAGGCATTGTATGCTGCTACTCTATATGAAGAGGCTATGAAAGTTACTGTTACTGTTGAAGCCCCTGAACATCAAGGATCTATGCTGAAGCTTCAAGCAGCCATCAGGTATAGAATGAATGAAATAGGTATTTCCAAGCATCAAACAAATTAATTTCTGTTTATAGATATGGTGAAGAAGATTTAGCTGGAGCAAAATCTCTGGTGGATCAATGCCCAACTGAAGACCCAGACACTGAAATCAACTTTGCCTGCCTCCTTTTCAAGGAAGGAAGGTTTCAAGAAGCATTGGCAAAGTTTCAAGCCGCCCAGCAAACTATGGGCTATGATGCCCATCTCTCATATAATATTGCCCTTTGCCATTATAAGTTAAAAGATTTTGCCCCAGCACTGAAGAATATTGCCGACATTATTGAGAAAGGAATTCGAGATCATCCAGAGCTAAGTGTAGGAATGCAAACTGAAGGGATAGAAGTTAGAAGTGTTGGAAACACTCTGACCTTGCATAAAACAGCTCTGATCGAAGCGTTTAATCTAAAAGCTGCAATTGAATATCTTCTGAAAAACTTGGATGCCGCCAAAGAAGCTCTTACAGACATGCCTCCAAGATCAGAAAACGAGTTGGATGCTGTTACTCTCCACAATCAAGCTCTAATGAATATGGAGAGTAAACCAACTGATGGTTTTGGCAAGTTACAATTCCTTCTTCAACAAAATCCTTTTCCGCCAGAAACCTTTGGAAATCTACTGCTTCTGTATTGTAAATACGAATATTATGATTTGGCTGCTGACGTCTTGGCAGAAAATGCTCATCTTACTTATAAATATCTGACGACATATCTTTATGATTTCCTGGAGGCCTTGATAACCCAACAGACCTCGCCTGATGAAGCATACAGAAAATTTGACATCATTGCTTCAAAGCATGCTGAGCAGTTGAGAAAGTATACAAAGCTTGTTCAAGAATCAAGAAACAACCATGATGATGAAGCAGTAAAGAAATCAATCAATGATTATGAAGATGCTTTATCCCGTTATATTCCTGTGCTAATGGCCCAAGCTAAGATCTACTGGGACCTGGACCAATATGCCCAAGTTGAGAAAATATTCAGAAAAAGTGTTGAATTTTGTAGCGAGTCTGATATTTGGAAACTAAATGTCGCCCATGTTCTGTTCATGCAGGAAAATAAGTTTAAAGAAGCCACCGGGTTTTATGAACCGATTGTAAAGAAACATTTCGATGCAATATTGGATGTTTCTGCCATTGTTCTAGCAAACTTGTGTGTTTCGTATATCATGACAAGTCAGAACGAGGAAGCGGAGGAGCTAATGAGAAAGATAGAGAAGGAAGAGGAGCATCTAGCGTATGATGACCCGGATCGAAAGGTTTTCCATCTGTGTATTGTAAACCTTGTTATAGGCACACTTTATTGTGCTAAGGGAAACTATGAGTTCGGGATTAGCAGAGTTATAAAATCTCTTGAACCGTACAATAAGAAGCTTGGAACAGATACCTGGTTCTATGCCAAAAGATGCTTTCTCTCTCTTATAGAGAACATGGCGAAACACATGATTAGTGTGAGAGACACTGTTATCACTGAATGCATTCAATTTCTGGACCACTGTGAGATATATGGACGGAATGTGAAGACCATCATAGAACAACCCTTAGCACATGAGCATATTCACCAAGGGAAGAATACAGTAACATATGAAGCAAGAGTTCTCAAGTCCCTCCTCCTTAATCTTCAAGAACAGTGAGAATTCAATCCACAGAAAAATAATATCATTATTCTATAAAACTGTAAAATGTTTCTGAAGGCTGTAAAATGGTCCAAGAAAATATACCTGCAAGCTACAAGTCATTAAATGGGGAAATAAAATGTTGAAGAAAACGTCTATTTAGAATTCAATCTAAAAAACAATAATCTAACAACCAAATTTTATATTTTAGGGTGTCCACATACTAAAAAGGCATCTAATAGAAAAGGGTTCGTAAAGATTATTTGTATGTTTAAAAAATGTCAAAAATTGTATACAATAACAATATATATGTATCTATAACTATACATACACATTTTCAACAAAATATTATTTTATACATCATTTAATATTCTTATGTCCACTAATAAAGAACTTAAAAACACATCTTTCCTTAAAAATGGGGGTAACGGTTTGAAAAGTTCAAATGTTTTTCTACCCGACTGCTCTTTATTTCTAGTTTTATTGCAGTATTTAACGTTTTTAAAAATTCAAACCAGAAATACGTTTTTGATAATAAAAATCTGATCTGAGCTGGGAACTCTTATATTGTGGAGACCGAGATCAATGCTTGATCTTGATCTTTTGTTAATTTGCAGATTAATTTAATTTTTATTCAATATCCCGTATACTACGTCAGGGATTGAAAGGAGTATTGATCAGGGGAGGACTAACTAAAATGAAGAGATGGAAAAATACAGTTTTTTCAAGATCTTCAAATTAAAAGTGCTCACTGTAGATATCAAAATCAAGCGATCGGGATTATGAGTATCCGACACAAGTTCCCAGCTCTGGGTTGTTGATGATCTAGTTATGATGTATCCTGGTGGTGCCAGATCCCTTGTCCTGGTTTAATTGGTGTGAGCATGTTTGGATCCTCAAGGTTTCTCGTGACTCTTTTTCCAGCTGGAGTCTCGTAAATCAACCCAGTAATTGGCGGAGGGAGGGTGGTCGTGAAATCTAGACATTACACAGTTTTTGCTCATTCTTTCAAAGACACAAGTTCAAAAGGTAATCCCAGTCATAAATAGATTTCCCAGGGTCAAACTGATTTTGCCACAACGTGATTTTGTTCAATAGTTTAGGGTTGGTATAAAAGCAAGCAATTAAAGAAGAAAGAAAAACTAAGTGGATAGGATAAGTCATACAGATATTCTTAGCGTTGTGGAGAGGACAAGCAGATATTCCTAGCGCTGCGGATATGACGTCACATAAATTCAGCCTGCTTATAAAAAGTATCAATTTTTAAGACAGGGTCAACTTTCAAGTGTCGCAACGCCTTGGGCAGTGATTTTACCACTCTAGCTCACTTATGCTTTTCTGTAGGCCTGTACATGAACTTTTAGCCCTGTAGAGAACTTGTTTTTAAGAAGAAATTGGCAAATTTATTATCGATTTTTGCTTGAAAGCTTGAGATCTTTAAATCACAGTGGACAGGATAGAGAATAAAGGCGCTGTAGATAGGACCGGCAGATGTTCTTAGCGCTGTGGATAGAACAGGTTAGGAAACAAAGGCGCTGTGAACAGGACTTGCATATATTCTTAGCGTTGCGGATAGTACAGGATAGGGAACATAGCAATTTGGATAGAGCTGGCAGATATTCTAAGTGTTGTAGATAGAATAGGATAGGGAACATAGGCGCTGTGAATAGGACTTGCATATATTCTATAGGGATGCGAATAGAACAGGATAGGGAACATAGCAGTTTGGATAGAGCTGGCAGATATTCCTAGCGCTGCGGATAGTACAGGATAGAGGACATAGCAGTTTGGATAGAGCTGGCAGATATTCCTAGCGCTGCGGATAGTACAGGATAGAGGATATAGCACTGTGGATATGACATGAAGATATTCCTATCGCTACTGATAAGACAGAAAATGGAAATTAGGCACTGTGGAAAAGACGTGAAAATATTCTTAGCGCTGCGGATAGGACCGGATAGTGGACATATTGATGTGGATAGCACAGGCAGATATTCCTAGCGCTGCGGATAGTACAGGATATGGGACATAGCGCTGTGGATAGGACATGCAGATATTCTTAACGCTGTGAATATGACAGGATAGGGACAGCGATGCAGATAGGACATACGAATATTCCTTGCGCTGTGGATAGGGCAGACTAAGGCTCACAACTCTGCGGATATGACAAACGTAGCGCTGTAGATATTACAGATAGATATTCCATGAGTGCTGCAGATAGGACAGGATAGGGGATATAGCGCTGCAGATAGGACAGGATAGGGGGATATAGCGCTGTAGATAGAACAGGATAGGGGATATAGCGCTGCAGATAGGACAGGATAGGGGATATAGAGCTGTAGATAGGACAGGATAGGGGATATAGAGCTGTACATAGGGATATAGCGCTGCAGATAGGACAGGATAGGGGGATATAGCGCTGTAGATAGAACAGGATAGGGGATATAGCGCTGCAGATAGGACAGGATAGGGGATATAGCGCTGTAGATAGGTCAGGATAGGGGAAATAGAGCTGTAGATAGGACAGGATAGGGGATAAAGCGCTGCAGATAGGACAGGATAGGGGATATAGCGCTGTAGATAGGACAGGATAGGGGATATAGCGCTGTAGATAGGACAGGATAGGGGATAAAGCGCTGTAGATAGGACAGGATAGGGGATATAGCGCTGTAGATAGGACAGGATAGGGGATATAGCGCTGTAGATAGGACAGGATAGGGGATATGGCGCTGTAGATAGGACAGGATAGGGGATATGGCGCTGTAGATAGGACAGGATAGGGGATATGGCGCTGTAGATAGGACAGGATAGGGGATATAGTGCTGTAGATAGGACAGATATGAAAACCTCTAATGTCTATTTACATCAGATTTCAATTTTTGCAACCTTTAATATTTGATCTAACAGAATTAAATAACTAAGGCCTACGACATTTGGTTGCAAAGTTTAAGGGATTAGAAAATCAGAGGTTGTGACAAAGACTCAATTCTTTTATTGGTGAAATTTGCGACTTTTTAAAACTGTCCTACGTTTGGCTTGTTTTTTCCCATGTTTGTCTTGTCCTTAAGAATTAAGTTTAATCAAGGTGATAGATCTTAAAGGGACTGTAACTTATAAGTGTAATTTCAAGTATCTCTCCATGCAAAGATGGCAATGCCCGATTTACAACGGTACCATTATCTGATCATAAAAAGGTTTTATGATACCGTTGTAAATCGGACATTGCCATCTTTGCATGGAGGGTCACTTGAAATTACGCTTACAGTCCTTTTTACTCATTCAGTTGTCATGATAAGTTTTCTTAATAAATAGAAATTAAACATATTTTATTCATTTCTAAATATAATTTAAAGGGACTTTAAACCTAATTGTAAGTGATCCCCAAATTAAAAAGTGTTTTGATTCTTTTCCTGATGCCCTGTAAGAATTAAAATTCGCCGCTCAAGAAGTTATGAGAGCATCTTTTAAATGTATATGTAAAAAAACTGAAGATATATCCATCATTGATGATAAGATATAACATGAATCGTTAATAGTAAAATTTATGCTTTAGAGTAAAAAACGTACATTTGAGACATATAATCCAAGGTTACCCAACAAATATTAGACTTCACAGACGACTACAAGGAATTTAGACAGAGCTGAAAACTTTAGAATGGGATATCTTAAATTCCAATTGTTTAACTTCTCTGGAGTTTAAATTCATGTGGAGAACAAGCAATATTTAAACTGGATATTAAGAAAAAGAGCGGTTTAAGCCTTAATCCTGATATCCACCATTCTAAAGTTTTCAGCTCTGAAGACTTAATTCAACATTTGGATCCTCATATTTTAAGAGTTTTAGGTCATCTTTACAATCTCATCCTTTGATGGGTAACCCTATAGTTTTAATATATCCCAGTAGAAAATTCAATTCATTATAATTTCTTGTTTTTAAAACGCATCCGAAATATTCGTGGATTTCTCTAGTTTTTAAATCTGAACAGACTCTTTACTACAGAACAAAGAGATCAGGAGAAATACGAAAATTATGCATATTTCTTTTAGACCGGGTTTATTTTGAAGGGTTGCGACCCTTGGGCCTTTGGGTTTTAATTACTAACTTTGAAAACTCTGGTTTTCTAATCCTTAGTGAGAAAAAATATTTCAAAATAAGACTATTTGGACTAATAAAATTCACAGTTTAAAATTTGCAACCCATACGACACCAGGTTGCAAAGATATGAGGATTTGAAAATCAGGACTTAGTCATATGACCCCTTTACATAGATATCTAGTGTGTCATTTACACATAAAAATCTAATTATAAATTAAAAGAAGAGCGAAAACAAAATCTTCCATTTTTTATTGATCACCACTGTCATTTGATGGCAACTCTTTGATTATTGGAGAGTGTTCAATTTATTTTTTTAATTTTTTATTTTATACGCAAACAAATAAATCCAAATGTTGCGTAAGAATTGCACGATTTGCAGGCTGAAAGAGAATGATTTATAAGTGACCATGTAATCAGGATGTAATATTAGATATATGAGGATGTAATTGTAGATATATGAGGATGTAAAATAAATACGTTACATTAAAGCTTTGTACATTTATGTTTGTAGGACGTAGGCGTAGGTAATTATGTGTACGAATATATATGTACATTAGTTACTATTTATAAATTTGTTCTACCTAAAAACTCCTGATGTTGACGGAAAAGTTTGCCGAACATTATTGCTCGACCCTTGAACGGAGTAGATTATTTCTTGACCCGGGATAATTTTACTCCCGGAGAAAATCCTAATCACTGACACTGTTTAATTCACATGTTTCTCCGTTCTCTTGTAGTGTATCCATCTGTACCTACAGAACCTGCGGAACCATCACCTGACTGAGAGGTGCAGAAAGTAAGAGGTGATTATTAGTCTAGGGGAACCTGTATACCTGCCCAAAACCGGTTAGTCCCGCGGAAGTGAACCAACCCTGCAAGGTTGAGGGTAGGCCTAGATATCACTATCTATCTGATTATCTATCAAACTCCCATTATTATCTTGCTGGCATCGTTATATTTAGAATTAGATAACTGAGCGTGGTGAAGAATATAAGTTTCAACTCTTTTATTTTTCCTAGTCTTTGAAATATGAAAACATTCCACATCTAGGCTTTCCCTTTCAAAATCATCCCGGAAACTTTAGAATCTGTAATACCACGAAACCTGGCAATGTAAACTTGAGACATTTGAATACCAAAAACCAGCTGTTTTCAAAACATTTCAATACGAAAAAACCGGATATCTGAAACTTCAGATATTCTACAGTGGTCGGCGTTTATATCAATAAAATGAAGACGACATTTTTAAAGAGGTTTTGATTTCTAACAAGCTTGAACTACCAATTTCAAGTATAAAAGAGAGAAGCTGTTAATTTACTGCTCCCCTTTGTTTATATGGTCTTTTAAAGTTGATTACAAAAGGTTTGAGACATGAATTATTGGAGGATTTGAAAATGGCGGATTAACGAAATAAAACTGGGAAATATAAAGACGACTTTTAGACTCGATTTATGATTAAACAGTTCAATGAAAATAAAATACTGCAATTGAGCAGTGAACATGCAGATTGTCTAAATTTCGACTTCAAATTCCGGAGTTTTTTGCAACAAATTCAATGATTAATTCTGATAAATTCAGTTTCGTCGGTGCCACTGCAAAGCAAAGAAATATGTATGCTACCCAACTGTCAAGCCAACAAGAATAGGAGAGTCTGCGTTTACAATACCAGCAGATCCAGAAAGAAAAAAGTTTGGATGAAGGCTCTTTAATTGGATCATATGAATACCGACCTTTATACGCTGAAAGAACCCAGAGTGTGTAAAAACTATTATATTGGTAAATAATTATTATGACATTATATTTGTCAATAATTCATTTAAATCAGGTAGAGAGAGAATTCAACCTTGAATGAAAAAGTAATGAGATAACTGATTACTGTTAAAAAGTACAAGGTTACTTGCATAAAAGATATGAGACATTAATTTTCTTCTTATAAACACTTTATAAACTTCAAACCAAAAGTAAATGTTCTAAGGGACTGGTAGATGTAATTTCAAGTTAGCAACCCATTAAAGGTCCTATCAACAACGGTTCCATTTCAATATTCATCTGGGTAACAATGAGGAAGATATCGTCGTTATTTCAACATAAAAAGTTATTAATTCTGTGAATTATGTTCATTGTCTTTCCACTAGTCACTTTTATGGACTATGGACAAATTGAATATTTCAAGATAGAAAAGCTAGCTAAAGTGTTTTGTTTTTAAATAACTATTTAATTCATTACAAGACGACATTATGAAACGTCAACAGAGTAAAGATATACTATTAGATTTCTGGAGAAATTAGTCACTATCTTTGCCTTTCCAAGAAAATGCGTCGAATTAGCGTAGATTTTCTGATGCGTTATCTTTAATTAGCAAAGTCTTTGCTGAAATGTATTCCTGCTGCGTATACAAGGGGTGGCAAGGGGGGAAGTGCCCAAAGTGATTAAATACTAAAGTGGGCCAAACTCATAGCTGGATGACGACATTTTATGTCCCAAGTATTTCAAAATAATATATATATATATATATATACATATACAGGGTGAGTCAAAAAAAGTGTGATTTGCGGCACCTGGTGCAAAAGTGTAACTTTTTTGTGCAACTCTTCTGTATGGTGTTTTAAAAATATTTTTTGAAAATTTGTATTTTTTTTTGGTACTTCAATGGCCCCAAAAAAAATCCGCGAACCTTTTTTCTTTCAAAATCAAAAGTTCAGAAAACAAAAATGTGTAAATAAATTGTTTCTATCGAAATCTAAATTTTTAAAAAGATTGAATCTCAAAAAATTTGCAAAATTGTAATTAGAAAATTCGCAATATTCAAAACTGGTATAATTTTTACGGAAAACTTGTTTTTCAATGGTTCTTAAGGTTTCAACTGAACAGCGTATATTTAATACTTTAAAATAAACTAAGAAGAAAGGAACTAGAGAATTGAAATAACTTTTCCTTAAAAATTAGCCAAGAACTGAAAATTGCAAATTTTCTTATTACAATTTTGCCAATTTTATGTGATTCTGTGATTCAATCTTAATAAAATTTTAGATTTAGAGAGAAATAATATAAATGCACATTTTTGCTTCTCTGAACATTTGATTTTCAAAAAATATTGAAAAAACACCATACAGGAGAGTTGCACAAAAAAAGGTACAATTTTGCACCAGGCGCCGCAAATCACACTTACCCTGTATATATAAATTGGTCTGTACGTAGTGCAAGGTACAACAGAAACTGGACTCCTTTTGTTTACAAACACAGACTTAGAATTTGTATTTAACTTAAATATAGATGATAGATAATATGCATAATCTGTAAAACAAGGAATGCACAATTTGTGATACCGAAAATGAAGATCTTCGAAATATATCTCTTGGTCTTCAATTTTGTATTTTGACAGATTTAAAAGTGGTTGAGAACAAAAGCATAGTTATATATATATTAAGATAGTCGTATTCAGGATTTTGTCCCAGGAAGGGCTTACCTTTTTCTTTTTAGGGGGGGCCAAACCTCCCCCCAAAGCATATATTTTACTGATCCAGGAGACGGATGAGCCCCCATAGCCGCCCCCCTAAATACGCCTCTGGTTAATAACATAGATGTGTTTAAGAAATTTACAAACATATTTCAGAATGGAGTGAGATAGGGAATAAAGAGATGATTTGAAAAGGGTATTTGATTTATTATTGTGAATATAGGAAACATTGGAAATGTAAAACCTTCGATCAAAGACTGATTACATATAGTGCACTGAAAAAATCATTCTTTATTGACCGGAAAAGTACAGTATTTAATTTATACTCTTTAAATATTTATTCTTTAAAAGTTCTAAGTCTATATGCTACTTTTTTACCCTCTATTTACACATTGCCACTTCTCTAACATCACACAGTTTATAGATGCGCCTTGTAAAAATAGAAACGCGCATATCAAATATATCAGAAATCTCTGCAATAGAAAGACGACTTTTAGACTCCGGTTACGACTCTAGATAGTCCAATAAACATAAGGCACAGCAAATGTGCAATGTAAACAGACCCATTTCCTTAATAATTGGTTATCACTGTAAATATTTGTTTATTATTTAATAATTTCAATCATCTTTATCACTTCAGAGAAAAATCTCAAATAATTCTTATCTTTATCGAACAGTGTCTGATTTTGTTTCAAGTATTAAACATTTATATTTGAATAAACATGAAAATTGTTCAAGTTTTTCTTCTTTTCCTTGTCGCCAGGTAACATTTAAAAATAGAATCATACCACCTCAATTGCAATACGAATTATTATTAATGGTTTTAATTTATAAATTCTGGAGTAGTTTATTTGAATCTATTATTGATCTTCGTCAATGTACAGTGCAAGTAAACTGGGCAAGGTTGTTTTTTAGGGTTAGATACTCTGGACACTCTCCAATGTACTATAAATGTCGTCTTCATAGCAATGGACACTCAAAATCCTCATATGACGTAACTAATTATAGGCGGAAGATGAAGTGAAAAAGTTGCTCGTGAGAGAGGGGGGAGGTAGGAGAATATACTCCTCTTGTCCGCTTGTCCGCTATAAAATTTTTAGCAAAGTAAATCTAACTCTGGCCAGCACCGTATTTGTTTATATTTATACTAGAATCTGTAAACAGTCCATTTTTTTAAATTATGGGATTCTGGTGTATATTCCTATACCCTTGAAAATTTCGGAAGTTTCAGGGGGATGGGTTGGGTTGGTCTCCAGAAAGGAACCGGTTCTATGCAATTTTGATGATTATTGAGGACAGTTTTAATTTAAGTTTTTTTTTATATCTTACACAAATGGTTGCAAGTGCAACTAAAATCCACTTTTAAAAATTATCAAGTGAAATCTAATTAATAATTATATCGATTCTCTAGGTTGGGAGAATCTGCGACTTTTTGTGAGTTTACCCTGAATACTCTTGTAATGAACTTGTCCGGGGACTCTAGTCTAGATATTCAGGTCCAGTATTTAAGATATTCAGGTCCAGTATTAAAGATATTTAGGTTCAGTATTTCAATCAATCAATCAACTCCTTAGAAATAATGTAAAAACTTAGTTGATTTAATAAAATTGTAATCACACCCTGATTTTCACTGCTTGTATCTAAACAGTTCACATTTTGACTGATATAGAGTTGGCCAAAATATCACCATCATGATCCCAAGAGATCTAATAGTTTGAAAGGTATTCCGACTTAAATGTGTTCTATGTGTGTCCAAATGTCATCATTATCTCTCTCATGTCGGTTGCAAGCAGAAACTAATCTATGTTCTAATCCTTTGAAATTCAACTTTAAATTATAATCTGAATGATGAAGACGACATGACGACAGGAGAAAATTAATATTGTTTATCATGGAAAATTTGTTTTAAATGTGATAATAAGAAGTTGTAAATTAACTGCTTTTTGTGAAATTTTGGGGGGAGGCCAACATTTTTTCATATTTTATATAAATCTACTTAATTTATACCTTCTTTACGGGTTTAGGGAGGGTTTAAAAAATTGAGCCGGGAAAGATCCATATTATGATGTTTTGCAACTTAATTATAGTGCCAGTGCCTTCATTTTTCCACTTTGGTTGGTTTCCTCGCTTTCATCTTAGACATAACATCTCGATAAGGATTTGGCGTCAAGATTTAAAAAAAAACATTTGTTGATTGATTATAGAGTATAAGATTATTTATGTATTAGGCTGCAGCTTTGATAGAAAATGTCTGCACACAGCTAACGAATGAGGAAGATGTAAAATCTTGCGAAAGGTAAACTTTTATTAAACTCATTGTAAAATACTTAAAAGAATTTAAAAGGTACCCTGTCCTGTCTGGAAAAATATAAAACCTTCCTTATCTTGTTTTTCTCATCTTCTTGAAACTATCCTCCATCCCTGATTTTCTTCCACACTCCCTTAAAATTGGAAGACGACATTTAAAAGATGATTCATTTCAAATCAAATTTTGAAGCCAAGTACAGGGTGTCCCACATCATATTAGACCGAGAACGGGTCTAAATTACGATTTTTGGGACTTAATTAGAAAATTTAATTAGAATGAATCATTTTGAAAAATAATATAAGGGTTATATAAGAATTTTCTTGCGAAAAATGATAAGTTTTTCGAGTATTTAGGGTTTATTATGGTGTTAAAGATTGAAGATAATCTGATATGATATGGGACGCTCTGTATAACTCGTATAACATTAGTCGTTCAACTTCCTTAATCACAATTTGAGGCAATCATAAATATGATATAAACTTAGAATACTACGTTCATATATACTTAGCTTATTGGGGTGTTTGTTCGTCTGTTTGTGTCCAATAAACGTCAAAATAGTTGAACCGATTAGGCCAATTTTTTATGGCCCTCTCATGTCCCCAATAATAGTGCGCTGTACACTGTACAGTGTACACTGTGTACACTGCACGATTGCTGTGTTTCATGTTCATTAGATTATTTGAAAATTAATCATAACCTGAGTCTAACAGTCGTCTTCCTATTGTACAGTTTTATGTGTGTTTGATCCTGTATATTTCTTGTATTCAGAAGCAGTAGATCCTACTGGCCCTACCTGGCTCCGTATATATATGAGGGGTTTATATCAGGACAGGCCGAGGATATCTGTGCTGTTGAACATGAGTGAGTAAATATTAGAATATCTTTTTCTCAAAACCTAAATTTGAGAATTCAATCAGATTTTTTTTAAATCGATAGTTTTAATCTTTAAATTTTTAATTAAGTGGGAGAAATCAAATTTTTCTCTGTCATTTTTTAATTTTATAAAACAAACACTCTCCCTGAAGCCAGTCTAAAACCATGAAATTGGTGAAATTTAATTAAGGCCCATATACGATGTAAAGAATTTAAAGTTTTTAAAATCCAAACACTCTATTTCAATCAATAATTGTAAATTGCATAAAATAGAACATATAAAGGAATAGAATGTTTTTGCCACAACTCAAATGCTCCATGCAACCAATATAGGGATAAAAAATCAGAGATTGTGGCAAAAAGTAATTAATTCCTTTATGTTTGTTAAGTTGTCAAAGTATGTCTTGTGAAGAATGCCTACTAAGAATGAATGATGTCTCAACCGAACTAAATTCTGAAGAGTCTATTATAGAAATAATAAACCTTGTTCAGGTAAAAAGAAAAACATTGTTTTATGAAACCTCCAAAAGGTTTCTTACTAATTTGAGTTAAAGTAAAAAGAGAAAAATCGGCCAATCATAAAATCTTTTTTAATCTCACTCAAACCGTTACATATATCACTCCTGTTTGCCAAGTCCACTAGCGCCTGATCCAATCAGGGTTCAGTCATGTGTTTGTTGTCTATTCTGAACCAATAGAAATAGTATGGCTGTAACATCTATCTTTCTATCTATTTCATTATCCAATTAGAGTTCTGAATCCTTCAATCGGCGCTATCAGTAAATGGAAATATTTACTTTTACTGAAATTATAGTGATATGTATGGTTCAAAGAATTTTGGATATTAAGGAATTGAATGCTCCCAACCAACTTTAAATTTCGAATATCTATATATTCTGCAAACTGATAAAGCCTTTTTACCAATATAATATAGACGATATTAAAGTTCAGCTTTGCTTTTTATTCAGCTTGCATGTAAACAAAGGGAAGCTGTGAGTTTGCCGGGCAAATAATCTTTGCTATAAAAATAATATTGTTTATATAATGGCATACAATTGATTGGTTTTATATGTATCTACTAAAATACTAAACATTAAGTATTTTCTTAAAAACATTTTGTGGGGTTATACCCTGAATTTAATCACGATCGATATGATGAACACATGCAGTGCACATTGTTTCAAAGTGCGTACTGCATATATTATCCAGTTCTTTAAAACAAAAAAAACACTTTCTTTTTCGATTTTCACAACTTCCCGTTGTTTTCATGCAAGCTGGAAACGTCGTATATATTATATTGGTATAAAGGCTTACCACTGAGTAAAATTTTTTGATAACTTAAATTTTTTACTTTTTGATTGGGATAGCGCAGAGCTTGAAAAGTTCTACTAAATAAGGTTGCAAAGATAAAAAAAAATAAAAAATAAATATAAGTGTTCAATTTCAATTTCAAAAAAAGTATTATAAACGTGCCAATCTTTCTCGACTTAATAATTGTAAAAATGGTCCTTAAACATTGTTAAGAAAAGACAAAAAAAAATGTATGGCATTTTAACAAGAACGAAAAGCGAAAATAAAATTAACGCAGGGTGAGCTTTACTGTAACATGGAGAATGCTTGGTGGGATATAGAAAACTGTCAATCCGAGGTCTCATGGTTTATACCAAGGTAGGATACAATATACCATTGTAGGTTACAATATACCATTGTAGGATACAATATACCATTGTAGGATAGGATACAATATACCAAGGTAGGATACAATATACCATTGTAGGATAGGATACAATATACCAAGGTAGGATACAATATACCATTGTAGGATAGGATACAATATACCATTGTAGGATAGGATACAATATACCATTGTAGGATAGGATACAATATACTATGGTAGGATAGGATACAATATACAAGCAAGGCGCGTATACAGGATTCTAGCCAGGAGGGGTCAAGTTTTCGACCCCTTTGACGATTTTTGCCCCCCCCCCCCCCTGGCCTTAAAAGTGCTGTTTTATTTTTTATTAAGTCTAACTACCATATATCACCTATGTAGGCCATTGTAGTCACGATTCAATGTATGTATGTATGTATGGAAGTATAGTTCTGTATTACTCTCTGAAGTCCAGTGTAGTTTCCCGATTAGCCCAAAGTAGTCCCGATTCAAGGACTATACATTATAATGTATCCCTCTGTATAGTTCTGTATTACTCTCAGAAGTCTTTAGTAGTCTCCTGAAGACTATCATTCTAGTCCTCCGTCCTCCTTATTCACCATCGACCTTCCTCTCCAAATGTTATCTCCCCTCGGCCTTCATTGGGGGTTGCAGGAAGACATGCCAAACACTTGCATAAATCATACGCTAAACGTGTTTATCATGTAAGTGGTGGGAACACAAATTTGCAGATGGGTGGAAGCTCATTTTTACACAGCACGCCTGAGTTTAACATTTGCCCATAGATTCCAGGGGGGGGGCAAGAGGACTACTGCCCCCTGTCTACGCGCCTAATATCAAGGTAGGGTAAGATACAATATACCAAGGTGGGAAAGGTATACAATATACCATGGTAGGATACAATATACAAAGGTATGGTAGGATACAATATACCAAGGTAGGATAGGATACAATATACCAAGGTAGGATAGGATACAATATACCAAGTTAGGATTGGATACAATATACCAAGGTAGGATAGGTATACATTATACCAAGGTAGGATAGGATACAATATACCAAGGTAGGATAGGATACAATATACCAAAGTAGGATAGGATACAATATACCAAGGTAGGATAGGATACAATTTACCAAGGTAGGATAGGATACAATATACCAAGGTAGGATAGGATACAATATACCAAGGTAGGATAAGATACAATATACCAAAGTAGGATACGATACAATATACCAAGGTAGGATAGGATACAGGATACCAAGGTAGGATACAATATACCAAGGTAGGATAGGATACAGGATTCGAAGGTAGGATAGGATACAGGATACGAAGGTAGGATAGGAGAAAATATACCGAGGTAGGGTAGGATACAATATACCAAGGTAGGATAGGATACAATATACCAAGGTAGGATAGGATAAAATATACCAAGGTATGATAGGACACAATATACCAAAGTAGGATATAATATACCAAGGTAGGACACAATATACCAAAGTAGAATAGGATAAAAAATGTATGAAATAACCAGAGATAACACAGATTAGGTCTTTTTGAAGATAAATTGATCACGAATATCGTTTTTGAGCAATCTGTGATAATATTAATAATTAATTGCTGAGAGAAAAACTATAGAAATTACTTTCCCTCTGATCTACCATTTTCCTGAAACCATCCCTTGATAAAGTGCGAATGTTTTAATAGGTCTAAAATGAGGAACAAGAAATTGCGAGATTTGTTCTCTAATTTTCTATATCATTTATCTTTTCTGGAACTGATATCGTAGATTTTTAAAACTTTCAATAATCAAAGTTTTGAAATCTCAAAGAATGACATCAACAGTTTTCAAAGGTATATATAGAGATGCGAAAATCAGATTTTGAGTCGAGTAATCAGTTTCTTTTCCGCGGAAAACATTGGTAAACCCATAGGAAAAATTTCCTGTAAGGTTTTCTAGTCATGACTTATATTCTGATGTTCGTGATTTATAATTAAATATTTTTAGAGCACTGCCTGTAATTGGATCAATCATAACAGAAGATGTTCAGTCCCGTGAATTCTGCTCTGCTACAGTTGGGGGTATCTGCTGATATCCCCCCTCTTTGATTTTTGGGGTTACCCATTAAATACCCCCCTTCCTTTTACTCAACTCTTCGGGTATCTGCTAAATATGTTGCTCAAATAATCAGAATAAAATCTCTAAACCTCTTTAAATGAATATTTGAAATTGTCCGTCAAATCCAATGAAACTTGGAAGCATGCAATACGCACAGAGATTCGCATTTTCCTCAGTTTTCACATAAGGGACCTTATTTCAAAAGCAAATATTTTATCCATTTTCTTGTCAGCTTTGAAATCAGTGAGCCATTTTCGAGAAATCGCCACCTGAGTTTAAGCATAACCAAAAAATGTACAATTTTCCCAAAATTTCTCAATTCTTGCTCTGACAACGTTTGAATTTGGCTAACATTTCAGAAGAACTTGAATCTGGGATGAAAAGTAAAATTAAATAATGTTTAAGTGAATGAGGGGAGTAAGGCCATCCACAACAATTTCTTGTCCGAGCCGCATTTTTGTCTTTTCTCGTCCTAGCCATCTCGAAATCCAAGTCTTTTCATTGTTATATTTTTAAACATGGCACTACATATTTTTAGAAATTCTGACCACGTTAGGGTATAAAATATTGTCAGACTAAAGTATTACAATTAATTACATCATATTGGAAGCTTTGAATCCATGAGAATAGATTCTATGGTTTTCAATATAATTAACATAAAGAGATTGAAGATCTATGAATTTGAAATAATTTGCGGCATTCTATAATAATAATTGTAAAAAATGCGCGTAAAAAAGATAAAAATTTTAAAGGACATAGAGCTTCAAAAATTTAATTCAATGGAAACTAATTTTTACTAATTTTTTACTATTTCACAGAAGGACGAGAATTTCGAGGTGGCTCGGACGAGAATTTTTTTGGCTGGCCTTCCTCGCCACGCTGAATGCATTGACATATACATATATAAACTTTTCTTGTCTGTGTGTTTGTCTGTTTGTTTATTTGTATCCAATAAACGTTAAAACGACTGAATCGATCCGGCCAAAATTTTGTATGGCAACTCACACATGACCTCAGGGACGGTTAATGTTGGGTGGAAGATAAAAAGATTTTAGCCGAAAAAAAATTTACACATTTAATAGTTTTGAAACTGCGCAAATCCAATTTACAAAGAAAGTGGCAGCTTGAAAACGGTTAAGATTGTTATTAGAAAAAGGGCGCGACGTGCCCTAAAAGCCTAGTTTTAAGGAAAGGTAAATTTCATTTCAGATTCAGAAAAAGCTAAATAATTGGGAAAAGTTCTAATTTTTAAATCCCTATAATTAAACCTTAGATATTTAAAAAAAATTTAATCTAGCAGAATTCAATGGTTGAAATGTCAAAGGACGAAAACACCAGGTTGCAATAATATTAGGATTAGCAAAGTGATTAGTGAAGTGGAATCAAAAGAACAAAAAGATGCTGATCACGTGATGAATCATGTGTTAAACGAAAGGAGAGGCATCATTTAGTAATTCTAGAGAAGACTATGATTTCAGACAACGAGCGCAAGGATTTCAACGCCTTAAACAAAAATGTTTACTTGTCATACCTAAACCGGCGCAAATTCAACATTTTAGCGAGTAATTCACACTTATTTTCTAGGTTTGGGGGAAACATTTACAAGCAGACAGACATCCAATATTTAGAGTGTCTATCCAACCTAACTACAGTCTTTTAACAGAGTAATTTGATGATATTAGGTACAAAGGTATTCATCTAGAGACTTGAAAACAGCCAACTATTCAACTTTTTATCCGAGATTCTTATTATCAAGTTTTGTATTTCAAGGGAGTAGGGAGTAGGGAGTAGGGAGTAGGGAGTAGGGAGTAGGGAGTAGGGAGTAGGGAGTAGAGAGTAGAGAGTAGGGAGAAAGGGAGAAAGGGAGAAAGGGAGAAAGGGAGAAAGGGAGAAAGGGAGAAAGGGAGAAAGGGAGAAAGGGAGAAAGGGAGAAAGGGAGAAAGGGAGTAGGTGTAAAACATTATTACTATAGCACTCTGACCCGGCCAGTCCTGTAAAATTAATGCTCCGAAACTGAAAATGAAAGAATTTTGTAAAGCTCAGGAAAAATACATTCATACATATATATTTGTTTAAATATAATGCATACATCTTACAATATATATATGACTATTTACAAATGATGTTTACAAGAATTAAAAGATCTAAACTGGGACAGCCATATTTTCTTTATCACATATAGAATATGTAATACATAAGAATTCTGTTGTCAGAGATTGAATTTAAAATGTAGAAGAGAAGAATGTTTAAAATTGTTTGCGCTGACAGTTTAAATAAAGTCCTGTCAACTTATTATTTATATTCCTGCTTTACTCACCACAAAACATGGTGACGTACTCCTCCAAATTACGCAATCGGAGAGCACATTTTGCAAAAAATATGGAACATGTCAATTAGAAAATTTTCATGATTCATCTTTGTTTATTTTGTGATCTACACAAACAATAGATGTTGTTTTATTTTACAACCTACTCTTTGCACCAGAGTGTAATGACAGCTTCTTTAATTCCTTTTAACATGACAAATTAAATGCTGGTCTGCTCTGATGAGGAGTTTTCGATTCTTTCCGAACGTAAACCTTAAAGATTCAAGAAACAAAAGATGGTCCAGCTCTCTCTTTGATGATCTAGAGACCTGAGTCATTTCGGTCTAATTTTATCTTTAGTTTGATAATATTAACTTTTACCATGTAACCTGTCTCCTCCCCCAAGTATTGGGCCGGCGGCGGCGAGTTGGCGACGGATTGGAAGAGTTTAAATTGTTTTTGGAGTTGAACGCGCCAGTATGTTGAGTTTGGTGTATAATGAGCTCAAGATTGTCTACAGCGTTAAAGTCCCCCAGAAGCAGTTGGCGGGAAGTTGGCGGGTACACGGCAGCCTGGCGCCCCATCCATCTATCAATCAATTCATCTATCCATCCACCTTCTCATCTTTTTATTTCTTCAGCTTTACATATACAATCCTAATTTATCTCTCGTCATTTTCCTCAAGTCTATCTCTCAGTTCAAATTCTCTACTATTTATCATATTTTCTTTACCTTCTCCTCATTCACCTCTTTTATATTTGTACTTTTTACACCTTGAACCTGATATATTCAATCCATATATTCCTTATCTTTGTTTAGATTGTCTCTATTTTTCTCTTTTCTGGTTAATCCATTATTTACACATTTTCTTCTGTTCATTGCGCATCTTTTTTCAATTTCTAATTCATCATTTCTTAAAGTAATTTTGGCTTACATTTTACTCATTATTCTATCTTTTGTGTATCTCTTGTTGCATTAAACTTTTCATTTTTCGTCGATTCATACTTTATATTGTACTCTTCATTATATCTTTGGGTTATCTTTTCTTAACTTTGAAAGGAACTGAGTTTTTATCACAAACTTTGAGTTTTTATTCTCTTTATCTTTGCAACCCAACGTTACAGGCTATGAATTCTGTAAGATCATTTAGTCTAAGTTGGAAATATCAAAAGTTTACGCAATAAGGTTTAAAACATAAGGAGACTAGCAAATTTGAGTTTTACTTTGATTAATCTTTTCTTGTATTATAGTTTTTCTTTCTTTTTTGATTCATATCTTCTTTAATTATAAACCTAAATTTATTCTTATATTTTGCTCTCCTTTCATATACTCTACTCTTTCTCCTTTCTTCAATTTATCCTTTCTTCAATTTATCCTTTCTTATACTCTACTCTTTAACCTTTCTATGATTTATCCATTCTTATACTCTACTCTCTATTCTTATAAACTCTTCATCCTTTCTTTAATTTATCCTTTCTTATACTCTACTCTTTACCCTTTCTATTACTTGTCCTTTCGTATACTCTACTCTTCACCCTTACTTTATTTATTCGTTCTCATACACTACTCTTCATCTCCTTCATCCTTCCTTAAATATATCCTTACTTGTATTCTACTCTTCATCCTTTCTTTAATATATCCTTACTTGTATTTTACTCTTCATCCTTCCTTAAATATATCCTTACTTGTATTCTACTCTTCATCCTTTCTTTAATATATCCTTACTTGTATTCTACTCTTCATCCTTTCTTAAATCCTTACTTGTATTCTACTCTTCATCCTTTCTTAAATAAATTCTTACTTGTATTCTACTCTTCATCCTTTCTTTAATATATCCTTACTTGTATTCTACTCTTCATCCTTTCTTTAATATGTCCTTACTTGTATTCTACTCTTCATCCTTCCTTAAATATATCCTTACTTGTATTCTACTCTTCATCCTTCCTTTAATATATCCTTATTTGTATTTTACTCTTCAACCTTTCTTTAATATATCCTAACTTGTATTCGGCTGAGTTTCATTTGCCATAATATTTTTGCCATAAATACTTTTACCATAATTACTTTTGCCATAATACATTTGCCATAAGTAACTTTTGCCAAAAATTACACTTGCCATAATTACACTTTCCATAATTAAAATTAAATTTAGTTAGAAATAACAAACATATATATATTTTTTTGATTACAAATTAAATACAAATTACAAATCTAGTTCAGTGACAGACAGGGTTTGAATTCTAGCTGAGCACATTTTAACCGAACGTTTCCAATATTTCACTTCTTTAAACGAGGTATTGGCTACATAGGTGTAGTTGTTGCTGTCTCGACCCATTGGTTTACCCTTACTTGTGGTCTCAAAGGTCACCAAAGGGTCCTCCATTGTGAGAAAATATGGAGCTGAACTTGTGTCAACTGTTCTGTTTTAAAACAATGAGAAAACTAAAGTTGGGAATTTTCATGGGAAAATTTCCCGTATTTACAATAAAAAAGACAGATTTATATTTTTAAAAATTAGAAAATTATGACAAAAGTTATCATAGCAAGTGTAACTTATGGCAAGTGTGACTTATGACAAGTGTAACTTATGGCAAGTGTTACTTATGGCAAAGGTATTGTGGCAAGTGTAATTATGGCAAAAGTACTATGGCAAATGAAACTGAGCCCTTGTATTCTACTCTTCATCCTTTCTTAAATAAATTCTTAATTGTATTCTACTCTTCATCCTTTCTATGATTTATCCTTTCTTATATTCCGCTCTTCAATCTTTTCTATTTTTCCTTTCTTGTACTTTACACTTCACCCTTTCTTTAATTTCTCTTTTCTATACTCTACTCTTCGATTGATTCTTTTTTATACCCTGAACTTTTCATTTATTATGATCCTTTCATTTATTATGATCCTTTCATTTATTATAATCATTTCATTTATTATGATCCTTTCATTTATCCTTTTCTTACAATCTTATAAGTAATATTTTTGTACATTTCCCATTAAATAATTGCTTGTTTAAGGGAAATATAGTTTTAAATATCATTTGGCTTGCATATTTTGAGAACTACCATGAATACATATTTTGTGAAACCATATTTTATAACTTACAGTAGAAAAATCACGTATACGTCTTTTGAGCTTTTAAAAATGTGGTCTCCCTTCTTTGAATTTACAAAATGTGAGGAAACATATTATTTTTTAAAAATTAATAAATTGGAAGCAGGGGAAAGGAACCGAACACTTGACAAAAACTCAACAGCTGATGTCGTATAACCATTGATATTTTAAACTATAAAGAAATTGAGTCTTTGTCACAAATTCTGATTTTTTTTTTATCCCTAGATATCTATTCCAATCAATGCGTAGACCTTAGATATTTCAAACTATGAATTCTGTTAGATCAAATAATCTAAGTTTAAATGTCAAAGATAACGAAACAAGAAAATTTGAGTTTTTGGCAATGACTCAATTCCTTTGCTATTTTTGTAATAAGGTTTACATCAACAGGTAATAATAAAGCAATAGAGGATTAGAATATCAGACTTTGTGGCCAGTGTTCAGTTTCTTTGTAAATACCTCCAATTTTATAATTATAACAGAAGTAGAAGACTTCAGTTTAGAATTGTCAAGACTTCGATTTTTTACTTTAAATATCACTAAAATTATGTTGTCAACTTATTCCCCTGTTTATTTGGACACCTTAATATACGTAGTCGGGAAGTATCCCTGTTTTAAAGGAAATAAGAAAAGGACAATTCTAAGTGTTTAGAGTGAAATCAAGCACTATATATATATATATATATATATATAATATATGTATAAACAAGATAATTATTAGATTTTTGGCGCCAGCCAGGTGTAGACACAATAATTCGGAAAACAGGAGCTTAGACAATGAACAAATATAGACGAGGATAAAAAGATACAAGTTAATTTTATCAGAGATCGTAACTTTGAAATTTAAGGATCTATGACTCCCCCACACCTAACTAATCAATATAAAGAACACCCCTGATACTATTTTCGTAGCTATGAACCTGAACAAATGCTTATGTAAATTTAACGACCTTTCTTATACCCCCCACCTCCTCCCGCCCCTCCTCCTTCCACCCCTCCCCCTTCCCTCCAAAACCATATCTTGTAACACCAACGTCTGCTTTCATTATTTTATCAATATTTTAACGCTATTTTTTTTTATCTTATTAACATCATTGAAAAATGGCTTGAATAGAATATAAAATAAAATAAACTGGACTTTTTTAATCGAATTTGGTTTTCTTGTGTCTAAACAAAAAGTTTAAAGAAAGACAGCTATTTTTTTTTATTCGCAATTGTTTTTACATTATGGTTTTTATTTTCAACCGTTTTTTAAACAATTAAACAGTTGTTTATTTATTTGTTTGTTTGCTCAATAAGAAAACATCTAAGTTAGAATTATGATAATACCTCAAAAATCAACACGAGTTTACCAATATTTAACACAATTTTGCTAATTTAAGCTTGAATATCGGCACGTTTCGGAAGAAAACTGAAAAAATAGCAATTTTATTTTGATGAAGACCGGTACTTTTCCAATTTGTATTTACAGATTTAAAAGTGTGGTTTTTAATCTTAATTACGAAGTTTGGGATACAGACTTGCAAGACAGACTTGACAAACAGCTGTACAGACAGCAGACATGGTAGTATAAAGGATCTCGAGACTGTAAACTGATAAAAATGTGGATGTATGGAGACAGACAGAGATATGATCTGGTATATATCATTATACCAGGAGAACAGACAGAGTAGAAGAAGTTTACATTCTACACAGTCCAGGAGACAGTAGGTCGGACTAAGGTAGCCTTTTCTTATTTGACTTCTAAATTATTTTTTTAATACAGGCAGGTTCGCAATCCATACACCTCTCCTCAACATACAGGCAGGTTCGCAATCCATACACCTCTCCTCAGCATACAGGCAGGTTCGCAATCCATACACATCTCCTCAACATACAGGCAGGTTCGCAATCCATACACCTCTCCTCAACAAGGCAGAAGTTAAATCAAACAAATAAAGTGATCACAGTGGTCCAAGGTTGCAAAATGTAACAAAAATTCGAGGAAAAGGAAAAAAGCCTTTGCCACAAACTCTGATTTTTGTTATTCCTATATCTTTTCAACCCAATGTCGTGGACCTTAGATATTTCAAATTATGAAATATGTCAGATAATCCAAGTTTGAAATGTTAAAAGTTTACACCACCCGGTTGCAGCGATATGGGGAATTAGAAATTTTGAGATTGTGACGAAAACTAGTGCTTTAAATGTTTAAAAGCTATATGTCTAGTAATCCAAGTTTACGAGTATAGTCAAAAGTCAAGGCGTTGCATCACTTCAAAGTTGATCCAGGTTTTAAAATTGATACAACTTTTATGACAGTGCAGTCTGGAATCTAGATCTATAATGTGATATTTAGACATCTCTCATGTCATGCAGTTTTAAATTGATTCCAAAAAAGCTTTTGTTTGTAGCGAGGGTGAAACAATAAAAGGACTGCAAAATCATGTCTGATTAGAGAAGTTTTCTTGTAAATATTGTAAAAATTATACAACCCTTCTTGTACTCCTGCTCATATCTACAAACTTGTGCAGTACATAAATCAGTAGCGGAGCTAGGATTTTTTAGTTTTAAAAAGAGTTTAAAACAATCTAACCTATAACGGGAGATGAACTGATTTATAGTTAGTCAAAATGTCGAAGATAACCAATCAGACATTACAGATTTATGACCAGATCATACTGTTTCCTTTTCAAGGATCTTCAAAGTCCCGGGGACAAAATATGGTACGATGATATTTTATCTATCTTTGACTTTTGGCCTAAGAATGAATTCTCACTTTATTGTAGGGGGGTCAAAGGGTTTAATCGCCATTTTAAAAAATTTGTCACTGTTCTTTTAAAATTTAAAAAGCTGTATCAATTTTTGTAAAAATTTTAATTGTAATAATTTTAAAATTTAATTTTTTGATGTTGCTCAGCAATAAATGAAGAAAAGTGAAAAGACAAAACTATGATAAAATCATATTTTCTTTCTGATTCATTGTATTATATATATATATCATTTGCATATGCATATATATATGCAAATGAATACGATAATAATAATTTTGGACACTTTGAAGGTGTTTCACCTTTGAGTTGGAAGCCCTATTTCTTTCTGTAAGATTCATATCGGTAGCTTTGACAATTGAAAATTGGTAAGAATAAAATTAATTGAATTGTGTTATAAAATTTCCCAAATTTGCACAAAATAACTGAACACTTGCCCCAAACACTAATTTTCTTATCCCTATATCTTCGCAACCTTATGATGAAGACAGTTTGGACATTTTAAACTTTGAATTCTACAAGATCTAATTCTACAAGATCTAATAGACAAAGCTTAAAATGTCAATTATTTACGCCCTTAAGGTTGCAAAGATGCGGGGTTTTAGAAAATTAGAGTTTTTGACAAGTACTCAGTTTCTTTTTCATAGATTTAGTCTAAATAGAAAATTTTTGTGATTTAACCCTGATTAAAAGAAACCAATTTAATATTTAGTTTTAATAAATGCATTTTGAATTAAAACGTGAATTTTGTTTTGCTTGATATGATATTCATCATGCAACGATGATCTAATGATTTCTCCGTTTACATATCTAACATACTATATATATCTTGATTCCCACGGTGTTTGAATCTCCTAACACACGTGCCAACTACTAGTGTGGCGCCGCAGCCTAGACAAGTGGCGCCGCCTGGGAGCTCTATAAATGACCCAAACCAGCAGTATCACCTCTTCAGTTGAACATTAGGAGCCACATAAGTTGGACATACAATACAAGCCATAATATGGCACTAAATTGCGTATTTTTTTCATTAATTGTGTCCGCGGCAGCTTTTCCATTTAATGAGGAGAGTTCAAACGAATACGATTTATTTACAGAGGAATCCCAAACTACTGATGAATTCTCTCTTGAACCTGCAACAACTTACTCTAAACCTATTTTACCCTTGGAGTTTCTTGAAAAAGCTAAACGAAAACCCAGAGGAAAGAATTTAAACGCTCGCCGATTATTGAGAAAGATGGGAGAAGATTATAATCCTACCTTGATGTCTGTGGATAGACCTACCTCCGGTATACTCAATACGAAGGTCAGCCTTCCTGACACACAGGTTGCTGAGCTGATGGAGCAGGTCACACACCTGGATATAGAGACGGATATACGCCAGCTCCTGATCGGAGATGATCATAAGCATGAGCCTACAGTGAGTCGAGCAGTCGGTGCGTTCCAACAGTGGTTGGTTAAAAAATCATCATGTCCTGTTGTTTTCCAGTGGACAGACCTGGGGGAGTACTTCTGGCCTAGGTACGTGAGGCAGGGGGAGTGTGAGGGAACAGGTGTCGGAGACACAACCTCCTGCTCCTGGCCCAGGGGGATGAACTGCGCTCCTGCGGACTCACAGGTGCTTCAGTTACTCAGGTGGCACTGCAGCAGGAGAAAATCCCCTGATCTTTTGGGACTGACTGTACGACAAAAGATCAAGAAATCCTACCGCTGTAGGTGGATAAAGATACCGTATCCTATCACCTCATCCTGCAGGTGTGAATAAATAATCCCGGATCAAGATTGACGAATTGACGATGGAAGAAGATGAGGAGATACACGTGAAAGTATATTCAGAAAGTCCCAGTGATGAAAATATAGTATTTAGTTGTGATAATTAAACATTTAAAATATATATTGAATATTAAGCATAAACACGTAATTTTCGTTATTCAAACAGGTTTAGAGTTAGAATTGTGGGGGGGGGGGGGG